TACTAGATATAACATGTGGTGTTCCCCAAGGGTCTATACTAGGGCCACTACTTTTTCTCATTTATATTAATGATCTGCACAATGCCTAAAATTTGAAGACAGTAATGTTTGCTGATGATACAAATCTTTTTCTATCCGGTAAAAATATCATTACACTAATTAATAAAATCAACATAGAACTAATTAAAATTTCAAATTTGGTCAAATAAACTATCAATTAACTTGGAAAACACTAAATGGACTTTATTTCATTCAAAATCCAAAAAAAAACTTTAACCAAATGATATGCCTCAAATATATATTGACAATGTTCAAATAAAAAAAAACAAAAGTTATACATTTCCTTGGTGTTTTCATTGATAAAAATTTAACTTGGAAAAACCATATCGAAGTTTTGCGCAATAAAGTTTCAAAAAATATTGGAGTAATGTATAAAGCGAGAAATTTTGTAAATAGACATTAATTAATTCAACTTTATCACTCGCTAATCCAATGCCATATAAACTATGCAAATATCGCATCGGGTAGTGCTAAAAAAATTCAATTAGATCCTCTATATCGGCAACAGAAGCATATAGCACGTTTAATAAACTTTAAAGGCCGTTATACTCATGCCAGACCTCTTTTATTGGAAGTGAATGTTCTTAATATATACCAGCAAAATGTTTTTAATGTTCTTTTATTTATGTACAAATGTAAGATAAATCTAACCCCTATATTCTTTCAAAATTTAAATGCAATAAAACAAAAAACAAATACAACTTTATTCTCATACAAGTTTTGGAAGATCTCTTTTAACATATCGCGGAGCTCTTTTGTCAAACAAAATAGTTTTGGAAAATTTTGATTTTTCCTAAAGTTGGAGTTTTCTTACTTTTAAAAATAAGTTGAAAAAAGTTATCTTGTCAATTGATAATATCTTTGAGTTCTTTTGAGTTTATACCTTTTAAAAAAGTGTGTGGCTCCTGCTAATATTGTTTTATTTTGAAATATTTAGTTTTATATATATTCTTTATGTTGTTAAACGTTATTTTATGTTTTGAAATATCTGGTTAAATTTAAATTTTATTTTTAAACGTCATTTATTGTAATTATTTAACTGGTTTTATTTTTACTGCATTGTTAAACGGTTCTCAGTGACAGGATCTTACGATCCTCTTTGAGTCTAGGTGTTCTGATATTTAATGTACAACGATATTTATACCATAGTATATTGTAATAAGAACAAAAAAAAAAAATATTTGAACAGATATTTGTCGCCTTTTTAAATTTTTTTGCAAACTGCTGTTTTTGTTTTGAGATACTTTATGTATAAATTTTACTCGCTCTACACACTACTTCCGCATCTTCGAGTAAATAGAAATGAGGTTACTTACATGTGAATTCGATCACCGCGCCAACAAGAGCTTCATTAATGACCAAAATAATTTTCCAGTTGTTAGTCATTAATTTAGCAAGACCAACACTCACATGCTTTCATATATGCTAATTTGATAAAGTTCTTTCACTTTTACTACTTTAAATAGGGGTTCAGCTAGCTTAAATTTTTCTTTATGGTATTTTATACTTAAAGAGTGTTTTGACAATGATAGAGCTGTCAACTTTGTTTTTTGCGTACTCGTCGAGGTTTTATTTGCGTATATTAGATAGCTCTGTATTAAAAAATATATAATTTGTAAGCAAATAGGTCTTGACTTAAAAGTAGGTCAATCTTTTTGATCTAATTAACAGGGAAGTGAGGGGAAGATGGATTTTAATAAAATGGTGGGTGGGAATTTTTTACTCAACACAAATAAAACAATTTAAATCTAGTATGGCTTTCGGTCAAACTTTTCCAATAGACGTTTTTATTCACTACAACTTATTCATTTATTGAGATCTTTTAATTATTGTATTTTTAATTTTTAACAAGGGCAGAATTGTTATTGAATTTTTAACAAGAGCAGAACTGTCAATGGGTTCCCCGCTATTTCTATACTTTTAGGAACTTTGTAGCACGAAATTTAAGAGGGAAATACCCCATAAATTAAGTAAAAATTGAAAATAACTTTTTTGATTGTTTTGGAAGCAAAAATTAATAAAGAACACAATGAAATAAAGATATTTTGTAAACAATGTAAGGAAAGTGGAGTAATTCCAATTTTTTGAACCAAATTCATCTAGTTTAACCATAGCAACGCACTTAGCAACGATAAAGCTTCTGCTTATCTGCTTATTTCAGAGGCTCAAATAAAGTTATAAATCTGCTTATCAAAACAGCTTTATCTACTTTGTTTTTACTTTAATTATCTACTCTGCTTAAATTAAATTTGACTCGATTGCCTCTATCTATTTCAGTTTTTAAACATTCCTTAAATGCAAATATTTACTTTGTTTATATGAGTTGTTAAGTGTAATAAGAACATATTTTATCAAATTTTAATAAAAATTAGTCTTAATTATAGGAAGAAAGGATAGAGTCAAGCAAAGAACTAGAGTTACTCGAAAGAAAAGAGTGTTTTGTGGTAACCAACACACTTTATCATCGCCAACATCAATGACAAACTCATAAAATATTCAAACATTGATACTAGTTCTTCAAGATCAGCCAGCAAGATTAAATGTATTAAAAATGATACTCCAAATAAAAATGGTGAAAAAATAAATAGTTATAGAACAATTAATGTTGATATTTTAAACACTATATTTGAATCTTTATGTTGTTCACAGTGTATTAACGATAATGGCTTGGTATTGAAAGAAAACTTTGTGAAAAAAAAAGGTATGCTTTGAATTTAAAACGTTGCTGCAGTGTTTGAATTTAATGTTGCTGCATTGTATAGGCTCAGCAGGAAGTATGGAAGTGACTGGTGCCAAACGCATATTTAGTAAATCTGTCAAAGAATACGGATTGCAGTATACTAAATTTTATGGAGATGGTGACAGTAAAAGTTATCCAGCTGTGAAAATTGCTTATCCTGCTGTTGAAGTTGAAAAGTTAGAATGTGTTGGGTATGTTCAGAAACGAGCTGAGACACGTCTAAGAACATTAAAAAAATATATGAAAAACCTCTGTGGCCGTGAAAAGTTAACAAACAGTAATATTGATAAGCTTCAGAATTATTATGGGATTACGGTAAGAAGTAATAAAAACAATCTAAAAGGCATAGGGAAATCCATTCATGCTACACTTTTTCATGTTACCTCATCAAAGGAAAATAACTGGTACACTCACTGTCCAATTGGTGAAAACAGTGGGATCAGATATCAGAAAGATAAAGCAAGAGGCAAATCAACTTACAAACCAGGTGCAGGACTTCCACTATCAATTATAAAACATTTAAAACCAATATATGCAGATTTAAGTGAGAAGTCTTTGTTACGTAAATGTTTGCATGGGCAGACACAAAAATAAAACGAAAGTCTAAATGCAATGATTTGGGATCGAATCCAAAAACAAAGTATGTCAGCATAACACAATTAAAATTTGAAACATACGATGCTGGGAGAAAAAGTTCTCTTTTAATTTATAAACAGTTAAACATGACAATGGGAAATATACATCAAGTTTGTGTGATAATCAAAATCGTAAACGTATTTATTTAGCTGGAAATAAAAATCTAGAGTCATCCAAGAAGCGGCGAAAGATTCTACGAGGGTTGTCAAAAGCATCAAAGGACAAATATAAAAACTTTAAAGGAAGTCAGTATGCCCCTGGGTCATTCTGAAACTTTATTTTAAACATTATTTAGTTATATTTAATATTTTTTGTGAAATTAAAATTTTTTTCTTCTATTTTTGCGTTTTTCTAAAAATAAGGTTTTTAAATGCCCCGGCTGGGATAACTTTGGAACCGCTTGGTGTCTAATGATGAAATTTTTAGTATTTGTTCAATTTTACACCTTCTGTGATTTGAACCTCCACTTTTATGGAATACTAGACAGAACACATTCTACGCCTATTTCAGTAGCCTAATTTTGACCAAAATTCATTAAACGATATTATATTTGCCCTCTGAAGAACTGTCATATTTGTCATAAAATTTTAGGTTCAGATCACAGTTCAAAGTATTAGTTAAAGGGAATTGCAGTATGACAGTTTGAATATATGTAGTTCTTCGGATAACTTAGCCGGGGCATTAAATATTTTTTGTTTTTTTTGTTTTCAACATTTTCTTGGTTACTATGGCAACAAAACACAATTTTTAAAAAATTTTATTCTGAAATAAAAAATTTTGACATTATATATTGTTTAAAATCAATTTTACTGTTTAAACACGAGTTTCAACATTTTTGAGGTACTACCTCCTTAATACGGTAAACTCAAATATCAGCTAACGTTTTCATTAACATTGATACCTAAAACTTGCTATTTCATTTTTTATTTGAATTTTGAAGTCATAAAAAATCAACATTTAACATGTTATTCCTTTAAACAAATTACAAATCATCTTTAATTAAGTATTAATATTTTGAAATATCAATATGTAGTTTTGAGTTTTTTTAAAAAAAAAAAAGTTTAATTGGCATAAACAACGTCATAAAGTTGGAGGTTTTAGGGAGATCATTAAAATAAAATTAAAAAAAAGGGGGTCCTAGTATAGACAAGTATAGTGTACTGAGGGTCCCCACAAATTATATCTAATAGAAACAAATTATATCTAACAGAAAAGGCAGCTACATGACTGTAAACAAACTATTTACTGTTGCTAAAAAAACTTTTAAGTAGCACCAAGACATTTTTAGTTAATTTTGTAATATTAAAATTTTTCAAACAAAATTTTGTGGTCAATTGTATCAAAAGCTTTTGATATATCTATGAAAACTCGTAACAAATACTGGGATTTTTTAAAAACAATCAGCAACAATCAACAACAATTGAGTTTTCTTTGAAATTACTATTTTTGAATTTTTTGAAGCAAATATAGTTCAATCATGACAAACAACAAATTTTACAAAAAATGATTAATAATTTTGAAAAAGGATTTATTTAAAAACAATTACATCAAGAAAAAATCGCTGTAAATATATAATAAATATTAAACAAATCACACTTATAAAGAATTTAAATATATTCAAAAATTTATTTAAATGTAATACCCAAACTTATATATGAGATATTATGAACAATACAAAAATAGCACCCTACATAAAAAAAAAAAAATTGTACCCCTACAAAAAAAAATTTAGTATAAAACAGCTTGTCAAAAAAAAAAAAAAAAATTATACACTTTTTTTTTCATTCAAATGTAGGTAACTTTTTTACATTTATACAACACTTACATATGGTAGTCTTACCAATGTGCATTTAAAAAATAAAAAACGTACTTTATTATTTTATAGTATTCTGAAAGAATTAATATTGGACTTTTGGTAAGGAAATACAAATAATTCCAGAAACCATAGCAATAGCCATACCTGCCCAACCAACACCAAAAGAGTATCCATATTTATTAATAAACAACCAATGTACCCTGGGAATGTCATTAGAAGCAAGGAACAATATCAAGCCACTTAAAGCAAGCAAAGCTATAAAAAAATAAAGATAAAAAGAAAAATAATTAAAACACAAAAAGTAATAAAATAGAGATACAAAAATAAATGTTACGCATTTAAAACTTTAATAAATTTTATTATAGATCAAAAATATATTGAAATGCACAGATTAAAAAGTCACATAAAGTGTGTGCTTATTTTTTTATTAAAACTAATCAAAAAACAAACTCAAGTAAAGAAAAGCTAAAAAAATAAAACGTATAAACTAAACTTATTTGCAGTAGAAACAATACTAATTAAAAAATTTTAATGGATATACAATCAGGATACTTTTTTATAATTGTTTAAATATAATTAATTTATAATTTTTTATTATACTTCATTATGCCTAATATTTAAGTGTTACCTATTGTTAATGGCGCAATGACTTCTTGTGTTACAACCAATCACTATTTTGTATCAATTGATAACAGTTTACAATCATTAGGTCATTTCATATTAATTATCATTAATTTGCGCGCCCTTTGCAAATGCATAAAAAATTGTTTTGAAATTATAAAAATTGATTAAATTCAATGCGCATCTTTGATATAACTAATAACTTATTAACTAGAATAAAAATTATTAGAAAATAAAACTTCCTTATTCAACATAAATATCTTAAATTAGACGTTTGTCTAATTTAAGACCAAAAAACAAACAAATGACAGTCATTGGTCTATATACAATATTCATTCATCTATTTTAATCTTGTACAAGTTTTGCACATTAGCTCTCACTCATTGATAAAAAAGTAATAAAAATCTCATCTTTATTTGGAATACTATTTTTAGGTAATCACAAATCTTAAGTTAAAAAATTTTTGTTTGAAAAAAATTACATTTAAACAATTTTTCTTGACTTTAATCTAAACATTTTTCATTAATTAAATTTTTTTTTTTATACATAGTAAAAAGGGTTTTTACCTGCAGTTATTAATACCACTCCAACAGGATTAAATGTCAGATCAGCTCTGAACTGCATTGCAATAATATAGCCAAGTATAATCGCATAACACAAAAATGATAAACACAGCAAAAATCGAACAATGTTTGTAAATGCTAAAAAGTTATATCAATAATTTTAAAAAATTTGTTAACACATTTTAGGTAAAATTGAAAGACTAATACCCTATTCATACTGATAAAACAATATACTGAGGTTGTTTTACAACTTAATACATGTTTAAAGTAAAATGTGTTATATTGTCAGTGAAAACAGTGTATAATTTAAAACACTATCAAAACTTTTAACATACCATCTCCAACCCGCTCAAAGCAAGATGAGTCAAAACCTCGGTTTGGTCTATCATAACATATTTTCCACAGGCCGTGGTACTCATCTCCAAAGACATCTTTCTGTAATAATAATAAAAAAATACTTTAAATTAATTTTATTAATTTAATTTGTTATTTTGTCTACTTACTATATGAAACTTAAATTACATAAAAAAAACCTTTAAAAAACTGTAATAAAGAGTTATTCAAACCAAATTAATATTTTATAATATAAATTAATATTTTATTGGTTTACTTTCATTTAAAAATCCTTTTTTACATGCTGAAAAAGATTACTCAAATAAAGATTTGCTTTGCTCTTTATCCCAAACTTATTGCATTGCAACAACAAAAAATATTGATATCAATAGATTGAAACTAGTTAGGGTGAAATAAATTAAATAAGACTTTTGAAGTAAAATGTTTTATATGTTATATATGATTAAATGTAAGCAATTCCACAGCACAACGAAAGGAATTTGACATTTGAAACTTTCTTCTCTTATAACTATTTTTTAATAAAGCTAGAACCTAAAGCTTTTTGCATCAATTAGTTTGACTCAACTTCTTTCCAACTATATATAGAAAGTACTAAACTTAATATGGCTTCTTTTATATATTATTCATGTTTTAAGACTACTATTGATAAAAAAAAACTTGCCACAGACATATTTTTTTCAAAAGTAGTTTTTGAAAGTAAGATTTTTAAAACATCAAATTTGTTTAAAAATTTCCATATAGAGTAAAAAAAGCAAGTATAGCCTTTCCTCTTTTTAAATCAAGTATCTATTATATATTATGTTTGTTAAGTATCTAGTATATATTATGTTTTCTTGAAGAAATGGTACTTAAGAATTTTGTTTAGAAATTATGTATTTTATTTTTTTTCCTTTGTGTATCATTTGTTTTGTTTTTTGAGCTTGATTTTTGATGTTATTTTATTTTATTTTGGTGCCATTTCACACTAAATTTTCTATACTTAAGTTCAAGGCGTTTTGTCAAAAAAAACATCTGTTTTTCCAGCATAAAAATACAATAACTTTGGATTTAATTAACTTTTAAAGTTGAAAGACCCCTCATTTTTTAAGGCTTTTTAGGCTCTGTACAACTATGTAAATCATATATAAATATATTGAAAAAAAAAAAATCCTTCCGAATGGCTATGTGTTAATTAATATATAGGATTTATTTTACTGATTTTTAGTATGCATCGTACGTATATACATAATATGTATATATGCATACATACAAACATACCTACATACATATGTATGTATGTATGTATGTATGTATGTATGTATGTATGTATGTATGTATGTATGTATGTATGTATGTATGTATGTATGTATGTATGTATTTGATTTGATTTGATTATATAAATGTCTCACCTTTGTCCAAGCTTTTATGAACCACGAAGTTGTACCGTTTGATATAGCAATAAATGCAAATGAAACACTTATAGCTATATAAAGTAAAAATCTCTCTTTGGTAAATCTGCTGCCATACTTTATAACAGTCATTCTTTTGCAAGTGTGTAACAGTGAATAATTGGCGATACTATATTCTGTATTCAACAGCGTATTTTTTCATCTATTTATGATTAGGAGATTTACTTAACCGCCTAAGGAGGGAAAATAATCGAAACCCGTTCGGTTAGGTTTTAAGAAAAAATTTTTAAGGATGTTAGTCATTATTAAGTTCTTTGTCGGATACTTCATATCGTTGTTGTAAAAATTTAGTATTTCAAAAAAAAATTATAAGTTTATAGTTTTTATCTTGATTGAAAAACGGATTATTTTGCTTTGTAGCACTGTTATAAATAAGATTTTCTAATTTTTACGAAAGTAAAAAAATAGAAGAAAAAATAGGGAGGGGATGGTTTTTTTTTCAACTAAGTGTTCTTTTAATTACTCATCGACTTAAAAATCTTTTTCCAATTAAAAAAGTATTTTTTTTTTAAAAAGAAGCTTTTTTACACCTAAAAAAAAAAAAGGAAAGAAAACTTTTGTTGTTGTTTTTCTTTTGTTGTTGAACACAGTGAGCACAAGGGATCAATCCAAAGTTGGGCTTATGTTGGGCAACTTTGAATAACTAAATCTAACGTTGTAATTCTCATAAAAAAATAACGTTATTTTTTATGAGAATTGCAACGTTGTAATAACGTTGGCTACACAAACGTAATTTTTTATCGTAGTTAAAACATTATAAATGCTTTACTTTCATAATTTTTATTAATATTCCCTTTTTTAAACGAGTATTTCGTTTATAAGAGACAATCTGAAGTGTATGGGGTGAGATACAATTTTAGCTGATAAAAAAATTTATTGGACTAGATTAGGCCTAAATATAACTTTTTAGCCTCTAAACTTATTCATCTACAATTTTTTAATTATTTCATAAAGAGCCTCAATTCATTGAATGAACTTGGTGCCGAGTTGAAAAAGAGAGGCTACCATCTCAGAAAAAGTATAATGGAGCAAATTATTTGAAGGAGAGAGACACGTCCACACAGTTCCAGTCAAGTTGATGCGAGCCCAAAACGATTTTAATTCAAGTCACGTCGGGGCTATCCATAAAAGATGGCCCCTTTACATACATACATACATGCATACATACATACATACATACATACATACATACATACATACATACATACATACATACATACATACATACATACATACATACATACATACATACATACATACATAAATACATACATAGGAGATGCAAACTCCAACATAAAATAGGGGGTATTTTATGTTAGAGCTTGCTTCTCCTAGCCTTTGGGCTCTTGGTTGAGTAAAGGCTAGAGATGGTGTCTCGATAAAAATACTCATCTTGAGCAGATGTTAAGTGCATCCGGCTGCTGTATTGTAGAAGGCCTCCTAGGCAAAGACTTAAGGGGTAAACAGATTTTATCTGTTGACCAGCCTCGCACCCCTTCTTCATCTATTAGGCTGGCATAGATGTATTTTTAATACATTGTTTCCAGTTTAAGATGTTGAACGCTGGATCTTCTTGACTCGATTCATGGGTTTTGCTTGTGTCTCTGTTTTTATGACTAGGCAACTCATTCTATTATCTCCAAATGAGGGTACAGCTCTAAAACTCAGTTTTATGGTTCTGAGGCCGGCTGGTAGTCAGGTTTCCCGAACTCTGTGGTAGCTCTCAGAGAGGCTGATTCCATCAACAGCTGAAAAATATCAGAGTACTAACAGTGCCATGTTGCGCATGGGTGGTGTCCCTGTTTGTACTTTTGGTGTGCATTGCCAAGACCTCATTGGAACCCTTTGTTACGGCTTAGGGTTTATTAGTGGAAATGAGGCAATTGCTTGGGCTATAGAACAGTGTACTGAGTACTATCTATGTTTCCAGTCAAGTTCTTTAAATTTAAAAATGAATAAAGTAACAAAAACTATCAAACACAAAAAACCACAGTCATCACCAAGTTCGCTAAATCTATCATTCACCAATATTCGTGGTCTTCGAAGTAACTTTTCTTCTATTGAGTCTTACCTCTTGCAAAGTTCACCAGACCTACTTGCTCTTTGTGAGACTAATTTGAGTTCAGCTGTTTCATCTTGTTATCTTAGTGTTGATGGTTATCTTCCTTTAATTCGTTAAGACTCCAATAGTCACATGCTTGGCCTGGGCATTTACATTCGTAAGAATTCACCCATTTGTCGAGAAACTAGGTTTGAATCCACAGACTACTCTTTTATGTGCTTTCGTTTAACACCACTTCACCCTATCACCTTTCTCTTTGTTCTATATCACTCTCCCTCATCTCAAGACTGCACCCTTCTTGATATTATTTCTGATTATATTGACCAAGTCTTATCTATCTGCCAATATTGTTGTTGTCGGTGACTTTAATGTTCATCACACTGAATGGCTTGGCTCTAGTGTCAGTGACTCTGCAGGCATTAAGGCCCACAAATTTTGTCTTTCTCAATCCCTAACCTAAATAGTCAACTTTCCAACTCGTTTTCCAGACAACCCGAATCATTTACCTTTTCTACTCGATTTACGTCTTGTTTCTGATCCTAGTCAGTGCTCAGTTTCTTCACACTCACCCTTAGGTGCTTCTGATCATGGTTTGATCTCTCCAAAACTATTATCTCATTCTTCTTTACCATCAGAATCCCCCTATCATTGTACATCTTACAACTACCTTAAAGCTGACTGGGACTCTTTCTCAGTCTGACTGGGACTCTTTGATTTTCTTCGTGATGGCCCCTGGGTAGAAATCTTTCGTCTCCCTGTTAACAAATGTGCTTCTTACATAACTTCGTGGATTCAGGCTGGCATGAAATCCTTTATTCCCTCTCGACGATTCCGGGTCAAGTCTCACTCTTTTCCATGGTTTTCCTCACATTGTGCTGCTGCATTTGCCAATCGAAACCATTACATCCATATCTATCAGCAAAACAATTCTCCAGAAAATAGACGTCTGTTTATTACTGCTAGGAACCATTGTAAAAAGGTTTTGCCTAATACCAAAGCCCGCTATTCTCAGATCATGAAATCTCGTATTTCATCACAAAAAATAGGCTCTCGTGACTTCTGGAGAATCTTTAATAGTATCAATAATAAGGGCAAGTCTGTAATTCCAACTCTTTTGTATGGTTCAGACTTTGTCACCTCACCTAAAGACAAAGCTGAATTGTTTGCCAAGAACTTTTCATCAATATCATCTCTTGATGCCACTAGTTGCGTTTTACCTGATATAGGCGTCAAACAGGTTGATCCATTGCTCGACATTCTTATTACTCCAGCTTTTGTATCTAAAGTGATTTCCCGCTTAGACTCTTCTACAGCTTGCAGCCTGGACAACATACCTGTTATAGTCTTGCAGAAGTGTTCTCCGGAGCTGTCGTCTATCCCTTCAAAACTATTTAACAAGTGCTTATCAAAGTCTTGTTTTCCAGCCTGCTAGAAAGCAGCTTCTGTTATCCCTCTTTTTAAAAATTCTGGAGAGCGATCCGATTTGTCTAACTACCGTCCCATTAGTCTTCTTCCTATCATAAGCAAAGTTTTCGAATCTTTAATTAACAAACACTTAATCTCTCATCTCGAATCTCATAACATACTTTCTGATCATCAATATGGATTTCGATCTTCTCCTTCTATGGCTGATTTGCTATCAGTAATAACCGATAGGTTTTATTGCGCATTAGATAAAGGTGGAGAGGTTAAGGCCATTGCTCTTGACATTTCTAAAGCGTTTGATAAAGTTTGGCATGCTGGCCTTCTCCATAAGCTTTCTTCTTACGGTGTATCTGGAAACATTTTTAAGATTATTGAATCCTTTCTTTCCAATCGTAGTATAAAAGTTGTCCTTGATAGACAGCACTCTTCTTCTTATTCTGTAACCTCAGGGGTTCCTCAAGGTTCAATCCTTGGCCCTATACTCTTTTTAGTTTACATAAACGACCTTCCAGATATTCTCACATCTAAGGTGGCATTGTTCGCTGATGATACTACTATTTATTCTTGTCACAATAAGAAGCCAACTCCCTCTGATTGCTTTAATTCAGATAAAACTCAATTTTTTTCGGCTAATCGTTATCGCAATAGTTTAGACCTTCCTATATTTATGAACGGTAATGTACTCGATGAGTCTCCTACCCTTCATCTTCTAGGATAAACTCTTATTTCTGATCTTTCTTGGAAACCTTATATCAAATCCGTTGCAAAGTTAGCATCTGCTAAAGTTGCTTCTTTTTATCGAGCTTGTCACTTTCCTACTCTGGATTCTATTCTCTATCTCTATAAATCTCAAATCCGGTCTTGTATGGAATACTGTTGCCATATCTGGGGCGGATCTTCTAATGATGCCCTTTCTCTTTTAGACAAGGAGCAAAAACGCATTGTAAACATAGTTGGACCTGCTCTTGCAGCCAACCTTCAACCTCTGTCACATCGTCGAAATGTTGCTACTCTTTCTCTTTTCTACAAATACTATAATGGGCACTGCTCGAAAGAGTTGACGTCTCTCGTGCCATCTACTAAAATTCATTCTCTTGTTACTCGTCATTGAATTAAGTCTCATCCATTTTCTGTTACTGTTCCTAAGTACTCCAAAAACTCTTTTTTCCTCGATCATCAGTTCTTTGGAATTCGCTTCCTTCATCTTGCTTTTTCCTGATTCATATAATTTGCAATCTTTTAAGTCGTCTGTCAATCGTCAAAACGTGGTTTTTTTAATGATTGTTGAAGATTACTTTCTATTAACATACTTTTCGAAAAGTCACTTTTCTAGACCAATCATTCTCTACATAAAAATATACTGGTTTACGCTGTTCTTTTATTTTTTTCCTAAGTTTGTTGATTCTGAAGTTAACTTCTTTATAAGAAATAAACATTTTTTATAAGGCAAGTTTAAAATGTTATGTCATTTTAATTAGATCAGATTTTTTCAAAGTCTCAGCCCCGGACACTTAACCCGTTAACAGCTCATGCCATAATATTACGCAAACTAAAAGTGGTTTCTAAATGTCCATGCCAAAATATTACGGTTTTGTGCATCTCTTTACATTTCCTTCTTGTTCAAAAGTAATTATACGTCTACTTGTCACAAAAGTTATTGCTAGATAATTACAGAGCTTTTGTTTCAATAATTGTCTT